TGTTTATTTCAGTGTCATGCCACCAAGTCTACATCCTGAGAAGGTGCAGTAAGTGGAGTTTGATCAGACTCATTTACCACCTGATCAAGTATATTTCATTAAAAAGTTGCTGTTTTCAGGGTCAGTTTATAGAATGAAATTCTGCATAGGTAGCTGTAGGGGAAAAAAAAACCAAAGTAGAAACTGCCTCTTGGATTAATTTAGAGAAGCTGTCTGAATACAAACTGGTGGTTTTATGCCTCTGTACCTTGGTTTTCTCAACAGTACAAAGAAGTGAGTGGGTTTGCTGATTCAGTTTGATTCCAGCAGTCTGCACGGATCGATTGTGTTCTCAGCCTACTTGTTGGCCTTCGTATTCAGGCGGGCCAACAAGACAATTTTTATAATGTGGCTGTGTTTTTATGTAGCTTGCAAATATATTTTGGTGCTATCTCTATTGCAAAGATACGGCTTCAATAGCTAAATTGGTTTTGGGAGAATATTGTAGATCTTTTATTAAATAGATGTATGTTTACATGTTTATCTCTGTAAAATCTAGTATAGAACTATTTTTTTTGAAATGAAAAATTAAATAAAATTTGAAAAATAGAGTTGTCATATTACCAAATTGATCAGATCAAATCTGAGGCTTCCCTAAATTTACCCTAATCAAATCCAAGTTCAAACATTTAACTGATATCCTAGTAAATAACCCCAATCATAAAACAGGCAGTGTTGGCTAAGGGACTCATGGCTATTCCTTGGGAAACTTAAAATATTGATAAAGTGGGAATTCACACAGCCTGCCTCACACAGACCCTCAGCACCCTCACTTCCAGCAAAGCAAAGTACTCACCCGGGTATAGCAGTAGCCCGCACACCACGTGGTGTTTATGCTTATGCAGAAGCCGCATTCCTCTTTCTCCACCGTGATGGTGATGTTGGTCAGCTCACAGCTATTGCAGCAGATTGCTTTCCAGCAACAGAAGAGGAAGCAAAAGTGGAGTGACTTCATCCTGGCCTGGGAAGCTAACAATTAAAGCCTGTGAGAAACCGAAAAACTAAAGAATTATCATTGTTACCTAAGTTGACCAAACCAAAAATAATTGGTCTGCCTATCCTGTGCAGCCACATTTTGCTCCAGCAATCTTTTTTCCTTTCTTTTCTTTACTTCTTTGTTTCTTGAACAAACATGTCTTCTAATTCTCCTCCTCAGTTTTTTTTTGTCAAAGTAGAAAACTATTATAGATTAAAACTCCAGATTTAAGCAGAGCAACGTTTAAAGATTAAATTATCACTACTGACTTTCTTAAAGTGATTACTTTGAAGCAAGTAATTGCGATCCTCATATCTGTCCATTCATTATCATTTTAAAGACTAGTTTTACTTAAAAAGAAGAAGGAACTTCTATACTACAAAGTTAGTTCATTTTTAGGATCTCATAAATATTATCATTTGCTTTTGCCCCCCTTTGTTTAAAATAAAACTATTTTGGACACCAGGCGAACTGGCCTATAGAAAGACAATTGCTTGCTGACAGTGATTACAGTATATTAACCATATTTAAGAAGCTAGGTTCACAAGCACAAATTCCCTACACAATAGAAGTTGAAAAGCTCTAGGTTTGTTCTCCAGATCCTGAAAAATTTGTAAATTTCAGAAGTAACAGTCACCACTTGATAACTAAGGGTGCTGAGACTCACCTGTGGTCTGCTGCCTTGTCTGGGGAAAGCTGTAGGCTGAGTCTAATCTCAGTTCACCTTTTATACAGAATCATGTGAAACTAACACCTGGTGGATTTGTTGGGTATTAGTAAGACCAGTGTTAGCCTGAAGCTTGCTGTAAGTGAATCAGCGTTTAGCTAGACAAGGAGATCAAGCCATACTAAAGTAGTCTAAACACAGTAGATCAGGAAACATAATGTTACCAGAGATGATGATTTTGTGCAAATTAAATCTGATGTAGTAGAACACCCACTCCTTTATCTTGTCAAATTAAATCTGACTCTGGGTTTTTTGTTTGCAGCTTTAACTTGGGGAATTCAGAGTCCTTTCCAAGTATTGCTTGGGCCTTGCTGAGGTGCATCAAAAAGATATGGTTAATAAATTACTCCGAGAGTAAATTGAAAGCTGTAAGGGAAGAAATAAATATAAAGTCTTTCATGATCTGACTCCTATCTAAGTGTAGACTGTATTTTTCTTTACTTCCAACACTCAGATCCTCTAATCTCAAGTGTTCTTTGATGCTTTACTTGTAATTCTTTAAATGCTCTGCTGATTCATTTCTCTAAGTCCTTGCATGTGCAGTGTTTGTCCTGCCTGAAATGTCCTTGCTTCCTTCCTGGGTCCCCTACACTATTTCCACCCCTGGCAAATTTCTCAACCTTCAACACTCATCTGCCAGTGTTGAGGATGAGAGATAGAGGAGAGCTTTAATTACCACCTTCTTTTTTGTAATCCTTTGTATGTCTCTGTTTCTCCCAGCAGACTATGAGCTCCTTTGGATACTGGGATTGATTTGCTTAACAAATATTTTTAAATTAAGCAGTGTTGCTGGAGCAAAAACAAATGGTGGAAATATTAACTACAATGTCAGAGATGTAACAGAAGTCTAATCATGCAGGATATTTTAGACCAATGTAAAGACTTTGGTTTTTACTGTCTGTGAGAGGGGACTGATTAGAGGGTTTTCCAATCTTTTTTTTTTTTTAACATGATTTTTCTTTTTCAGTGGAGGACTGAGGATTGAACCCAGGACCTCGTGCATGCTAAGCATACGTTCTACCACTGAGCTCTTACCCATCCCCAATTATAGGGTTTTGAGTAGAGGAGTGATGTGATCTGGTTTAGGTCTGAAAGGATCCCTCTGTCTGCTGTGTTACTAATGCAGGAGCGGGAAAAGTAGGAACAGGAAGTCCTATTTGATGCTACTGTAGCTAGCTGGGTAAGAAATGATATTTGTTTAGACTATTGTGGTAGCAATGAAGGTAATGAGACATAATCTGATTCTGGATATATTTTGAAAATAGAGCCAACATAATTTTCTGATGGATGACTTGAGTGTGAGAGAAAGAAAAGTCAAGGATGACTCTGGTCCAGGCAACTTGAAGGATAAATTTGCTGTCAACTGATATGGGATGGCTGTAGATATAGTAAGTTTGGGGGGAAGATAAGGAGTCCAGTATGGATATGTTGAGCTTGAGGTAGCTTTAAGACATCCAAGTAGAATCTGTATGTTGGAACAAATAGATTAGCTGAAGGTATAAATTTGGGAGTTGTTGACATGAGCCTAGAAGAGATTACCAAGGGAGTAGGTGTAAATAGAGAAGATAAAAAGACCAAGAGTGGAGCCTGGTGTATTCAAACATTAAGAGGTCATAAGACGAAGTGTTTTTTGTTTGTTTGTTTGTTTGTTTGTTTGTCTTTCCCTTCCTTTATCCAAAGGAAATGGAGAAGGGTCATTGAGGAAAAAAAGGAATGGAGAGAATGTGGTGTCCCAGAAGTCAAGTAAAGAGAGTGTATCAGGGGGAGACAGTGACAACTGTACAAAATGCTGCCAACAGTTTAAGTAAGGAAATTGCACAATGCGTGTGACATCATCAGTGTCCTTGGTTAGAGAAATTCCTTTGGGGTGAGGGGAAACAGTACCCTGATGGGTATGTCTTTAAGTGATTGGCAAGAGATGAATAGAAAAAGAGTTGAATATAGACAACTTTGTTTTTTTTTTTCCCCCGGAAATTTTGATACAAAGAGGAGGAAAGAAATTGGTGATTTGGTAAAGTAGAAGTGGGATAAAGGTTATTTTCTTTTGATTTTTATGTTTTAAGATGGAAGGAATAACTCTGTTTGTATGGTGATGCAGATGGTTGGGTAGAGAGTGAAAAATGATGTTGGAGGAGGGGAGGAGACTTTCTGCAGTGTTCTTAGGTACGTGTCAAGACATGGATTTTAGAGCACAAGTGGAGGGAATGGCTTTAGACAGGAGAATGGAGAGCTCATCCTGTATCAGGCAGGAGGCAGAGTTGTGAGTGCAGATGCTGCTGGCTGGGGAGGTGTGGTGAGTACAAAAGATGGTGGGTGTTAGGTGCCGTGATGGGCTTTATGCAAACTCTCCTATGATTAATTTCATTTTCTCAGTAAAGTGGGAAGTAAGGTCATCATTTGAGAATGAGGATGGTGGATGAATTGCTGAAGTATGAGAGACGGAAAGATTTGAACTGTTGTCTGAGACTGGGAGAGGGAGTGAGTTGTCAGTGAGTTAGGCATAGTAAAATTGCCTACCAGCCTTAAGGGCCCACTTGAGGTTTATGGTAAAAAATTTAACGTGAAACCACTCAACACGGATGTGCATTTTCCTTTTGCCCAGTTTAATGGCAGGGGTTCAGGCTTATAGGTGACAATTGGTTGGATTTATCCAGAGTTATGATTTTATCAAATGTGTGTGACAAAGATAAAAACTTAGCAAAATACTGGGCACTACAAGTACTAATTCAGCATTTATGTAAGTGATCTCTGGAATGTAGAGATATTTTTAAATCTGTTGGTAATGGGCAAGTAAGCATATTATCAAAGTTATAGGATGAATAAATTTCATATAATACATATTAAATGAAATATACTCATGATTCCTAGAAAACTATAAATCCTTTCAATTTTCCTAAAAGAATACTAACAATGTTATGACTATCAGTTATACCTTGCATTTGAAATTAACTTTCTGTTATCTATGTATGTTCACGAAGTACATGTATATGAATATATGTGAACTTATGTTTTAATGATTAATGTATATACAGTTGTATTAGCTCTTTACAAATTCAATTTAAAATATTAACAGCTTTTTAAAAATTGTGCTCCTACTATGCCCCAGGCACTTAACTAAGCACTTTAAATACACAATCACATATAATCTTTACAACAACTTTCTAAAGGAGTTACTATTATTGCTCTTTGAAAGATGGGATAACTGAGTATAAATGACTGACCCAAGACAATGGAACCTGTAAGCACCGAGGCTGAGGTTCATATCTAGGTCTGTTTGTCTCCAAAGCAGAGAGCTACTCATCGAACCATACTGACATCAGTGGGTTATAATTCTCAACAGTCCCGCTAGTTGGAAAGAGGCCAAGACAGAAGCCATCCAGAATTTGGGCAGATATTCCAAATGTCCATGTTTATACTTCCATCCACATTTAGGTCAGAGGTTCCCCCCATATAACCCTATTTTCCTTGGCCTGTCAAGAGGCCCCAAGATGTCTCTCCCAGTATCAAGCCTCTTAGAGCCTAGTTTATCTGATTAGTGTATTTCCTAATTAGATGTTATTGTGTTCATACCTAGGTTGTTGAAATGTTTTATTGATGAAAATCTAGAGATCTTATTCACCTTTGTATTCCCAAAACGAATAGGGTTTCTAATCCACAGTAGGCACTCATACACTTTTGTTGAACAAACTGAAACACAGATCACTCACATTTTCACTTATGCTCTGCTGGTCGGTAGCCTGTTTGCTCTCTGATGCCTTCCTTGTTTTTACTCTGTTCTGCTGTCTGTTTTTGGGAGAAGGGACCTCTGCAGGCTGCCTTTCCCAAGCTGCAGTGTCAGCAGACTTTTGCCTCTGGGGAGGGAGATTGCAGAGTTTTGCTCTGTCTCCTTCCTTCCAAAAAAGGAGACAGAGCAAAGCTCTGCACTCCTCTTGCCAGCAGCTGCACCTTCTCCCTGGCTCCAGGTCGCATCAGATAGCTCCTCTCTTAGATCTTCCAGTTTTTGTGAGGAAAACCCTCTTGTGGCTTAAACTTCCGCTAGGTGATCTCACCTTTTGGTTCTGGAAACCCTATTTGTGTCCCTCCAGTCTAGAGGGTAAATGGGGCTTCCCATGGCTGCTGACCTTTGGGTTTCCCCTGCCTGGCTTCTCAGCTGCGCTAACACTTGGATAATGAATTCCCTGGATTAAGTTCCCTCTGTTCTACGTGTTAGGAGTGGTTTCTGTTTTCCTGGTTGGAAACTGACTGATAACCCACATCTTTGTTTCTAGCCCTCTATTACTGGGTTTTAGTACAGTAATATTAATTAACTCAATATTTAACAAAATATTGAACATTATTTAAGGAGACCCTATGTCAAATTCTCACTTTATTGGCTTGAAGCATCTCCCCACTTCCCAAAATCACATGTAATATTACTCTCTTCCTTGAGAGAAAAAAATTCTGTTCCTTTGGCTGGAGATATGTCTCTCATCTCCTTTTCATCCAAGCCACTCCTACAAGCACTCCTACAAGATTCCATTTAGATGTAGCTTCTTCTAGGAGACATTCACTCATCCCACGTTACACAGTATTCAGTACTCACTCTCATCCAGTCCTTTCTGTTTTGTTTCCTTAGTTCCCAGTGCCCACCTCAGTGTTAACATTCATCACATTGCATTTTAAATGAACAGCAGACTTCTCTTGTGAATTCTGGTGAACCAATGTCCACAACTGTGTGAGCATCCCTAGAATTTCTACCTGTGCATATGCTCAATGACCTACATCCTTCCTTCATTTATAAAGATTTTTTTCCAAACCATTCCTTTATGTTTGGGCTGAAAAATAGGAAATTAAGCACCTGTGCTCATATCTTGATAAATTACTTGCTTCTTCTACGGTCTGGTATCCTTTTCATCCTCTTCTTTTGCTCATGGGATAAATGTTTTGTAATGTAAATTAAAAAAATTGTTTAATGTATTTAATTTTGTTTTTAA